AGAAATCCCGGAACACAGACGCATTCTCCACCACGAGGCCTTGACGCCTGGCGCTGATCCACCCACCTGACGCGTGTGCACACGCCCCCACAGGGCACAGGCCCCGGGAGCTGCCTCTGGCATCACGGCTGGGTCCGGGGAGCAGGGTGGAAGGCAGGCTTACTCCTCTTCCTTAAACCTTAGGCAGTGCTTGAATTGTTTTTAAACTTGCACTTGGGTTATTTCTTCCAAACAATGAAACCACTGTGTTTCCATCCGTGCATTCTTCTGGGATTAGCCCTACACACTCTGACAAAGCCCCCGCCCAACAGCAGCCACACAGCAGTCATGCACCCCCAGCAGGGGTGGGAAAGCTGGAGACCAGGGCAAAGCGGGGGGAAGCGCAGGGCCCCGTACAAACGCCACCTTGAAATCCCTGACCTGGAGGCTGGACCGGGACCCACTCGTGACAGACTCGGCAGTAGGAGTCACACGGGAAAAACCAGCAGCACCCCGGGGTGGGGGCGGGGGCGGGGCAGGGCAGGAGCTGACCCTCCCCACGCCGGGCCAACAGTCAGCATCCCCTCCCGACGCCCACGGGAGGCGTTTTCAGTGCCTGAGCCCACGGGGAGTCCTCGGAGGGGAGAGTGTGGCCGTCACTCAGAGTGTGTCCATCGGGCACCACAAAGCTCTCCAACATCCCCTGCACTGCCTCCCCCCAAGCCCCGTCGGGGATTGTCCAGTCTCACGGTCTCCAAACTGTCCCGAGGTCCTCAAACCGAATGTGCTGCCAACTCCTTCCTACATCTGGATCTCAGCAATACTTAAACACACAGCACCTCACGTGCAGTCACGCGCCATCGCACGGGCCCGCCCCGGGCCGCACTGACACGTTTGTGCGCCTACGGCCCTCGGACAGGGCCACTTGCCTTCCCCGCTTCACTGACTTAACATTCTGACTCCACGTCAGACTTAACGCTCCCACTGGCGACTAGGTATCTCCGCGAAGCAGGATTTTTTTTCAATATTGCACAGTCAGAATAAAGTCAGGGCAAAACAGCTGCTGGGATCACAGGGAGGCCATCTCCAGACACAGGTTACAGCCGCCAGATACGTCTCGTCTACTGACTCGGTAATAAGTGAACAGCACGCGTCTTAAACTCCTCAAGTGCATTCACTGAACTCCCCCACTTC